CTCGGCGCTCTTGCATTCCATCGGGAGCCGGGCCGTAATGTTCTACCTTCTCATTGATGTCGGTCTCTGCATCTTCCTCGCTGAGTGTGACTTGGTCGTGGGACATGTACGATTCTCTCATCGGCTGGCTCTCACTGATGTCGGTCTCGGGTCCAAACACGTCGTCGTTATCGTGGAGAGGGATCGAAACGGTGGCGTCGTCGGCAAAAGCGGCAGAGTTGCGGTTCGCACCAGTCGAGAACAGCGGCGCAGGCGGAAGCGGTCGTCGGGGGCTACCGCCGTATCTGGAAGATGGAGTTCCCGGTCTGGGGCTGCCATTGAGGTCTGATGGCTCGTAAATGCCCGAGGCAGGGGGCCTTGTGAAGTCCGACGAGAGGCGGGAAGGGCTGTATGTCCTCGTTGGTGAATGACGTCCTGACTGGTACTCGTACGGGTAGTCATCCTGATACTCCTGCTCGTAAGTGCGCTCGTACTCCCGGGCGTAGTCGCGGCCTTGGAAGGGGACGTAGGTCGAGTCGGGCGGTGGCATGCTCGGGGGGTCTCGAATGGACGCGGAGCGGTCGGACAAGATGGACGACGCATAGGATCGTCTGCTGGATCGGGGCCTGTTGGTCTCGTCATGTGAGCTTGTGCTTGTGCTATTGGTAGAATCATCTGACAATGGAGGAACAGGACAGCTAGAGGACTGGTGTAGTTGACTCTTCCGCAGCGAAGGACCCTCTGGTATGGTGGGGAGACTGTCCCGAATTTGTGACTCTCGGATGGAGTTGGGCCTGGTCCTCTTCTGCAACTTTACAGTAGAAGACCGCACCGGTATGCGAGAGGTACGCTGGGCGTCTGCAAAGTCGACAACGCTCACACCACTTGAGCGCGGCGTGTAGACAGGTGCTGGTGACAAGGGCGATGTCGGGTGTCCCTCCTCCTGCTGCCTCAATGCGTCAAGGTGGTCTGGCGTGGAGATCACAGGGTCTGCAGCGTCCGACTTCTTCCTGCGCAGCGATAGAGGGCGCGGGAAGAGGCTGGGCGACGAGTCGGGTGTCTTGTGAACCTGTCGAAGGCGAGGAATGGAAGATGCGGAGACAGGAGTAGTAGCAGGAGTAGAAGAAGAAGAAGCATAATGAAACTGTCGCGATGCGCCCTTGGCGCCGCTGACTGCTGTGGAGGTCGATGTCGACTGCTGGGGCGCGGTGGATGTTACGTACGGTGCTCTGTCCATGATGGGCTCCTCGACTGAAGTCAGTAGTCGAATGGCGGCGGGATTGTTGGAGCGTCCCGTGGGAGTGTCGTCGTCGCGGTCGTCGTAGGGTGGGAGGCTGTAGTCGGGCGGTCGCGAGGGGGTATTTGGGTCCATGATGAGATGTTGTTTGCGCCGCCGGTTACTGGGACGAAACGATTAGAGGAATGTTGGACTGGATTGTTGTTCAAGGGCCGGGTCTCGTATGGGTGTTCTTTGTTTGCAACGGGCCGGCGCCACGATGAGATTGTGTGGGCGAGGGATTGACGTAGCTCAGGTTGGCCTCGTGGCGTCGGTTCGGGTTCTAGTGAGTGTCTCGATGGTTGGAATGAGGTCCAAGACGTAGTGTGAGGGTGTAAGTGTCGAAAATCGACAAAGGGTAGCGCCGTTGGAAACTCTCAATGGGAATTCCAAACGGCAAGGTTGGTGATGGTGGTAGTGGTTGTGCTAGAGACTAGCTTTTTGGCAAAGTGGGATGGATCTCGACAGATGATATGGGAGCAATGTGCGAGAGAGCAGCAGCAAGGGAGGTAAAGCATCTGGGCAAAGCTGCGGGAAGGAGGGTCAAGTGTTGGGGAGGCTGGGGGGACTCAGGAAAAAACGTGGATGGGCAATCACTTTGCACCAGGCTGCGACCTGCGCCATCCTCTTTCTCACCTCACCAGTACGCAGTACCTTAGTGTCTCTTTTGCTCCCAGCGCATCCGCGAGTGTGTCGAGGGGCAACAGGGCGGATCGGGGACTTTGATCGCGTTGACGGGGCAACGATACTCGACTGCAGGGGATTCTTGTGGTGTTCCGGCTGCGAAAAGCGGGCCGGTGAGGTACAGCACAGGGGGGCTGAGCCTGTTCGTGGGACCTCTTAGCGGTTAGCGGTTTCTTAGCGCCCCCGGGGCCCGCTGACCGTTCCTGAGCCCGTCGCCCAAAACGGACTGATTACCTCACCTTGGGTAAGGTACTTCGCAAGGTACCGTGGGTCAGTCACTCACCTGTACGGAGTACACATGCATGCACCTCATCACTCCGCCAAATCTGTCAACTCTTGCACCCATGGCCACAACACGATCGTTGCGCCAAACGGTAATGGCAATGTAGCAAGGTAGCTTTGACAGGCCCACGGTGGATTAGGGCTTGGATGATTTGCTTTTGGTATTCAACGTCTATCTTTTCCACTTGCGGCTCTGTCTACGGATACACTTTGGCACCCAACGTCTGAGATATCTATCCCGCATGGATGATGTGCAGCTCACCTCTGGGGTAAACAATCATCTATACCCACCCGAAATTCTATTTTCCGTTTTGCCCTCGTCCTCTCAATGCTGATATATTCCTGGGCTTACTTGGCCTTCCCAATGTGGAACCCGATCTATCACACACCCCAAAGAGCCCTCCACCGCTTCTCATCCGTCCTCAAAGGCCCATCAAACCGTCCAAATCGCGCCGGCAACCCCTCGTTGGCCTCGGGCAAACAAATCCACTCCCGTACGCAGTCCGGCACCTCCTCTTTGATGTGACTAATACAGATCAACGCCTGCCTCTCACTCAAACCCTTTACCCGCACCCGGCCCGCCTTGGCTACTTCGCTGTCCACAATCTTCTCCCCACTATACGTCTTCTCTTCTCCTGTGGCGAGGAAGAGCATACACTTGTCTCTGACAGCATCGTCCATCCCGCTGAAAGCCTCATCGAGCACCACCACGTCGGCGTTCTTGATCACCGCGCGCAGGAGCAACGCGATCCGCTGGGCGCTGAAGGACAGGCCACCGAAAAGGTAGTTATCAGACCAGGAGAGGTCACCTTCACCATTACCCGTGACAGAAGAAGACGCTGCCTTTTGATATCCCGGGTTTAGCTCCGGTGCGAACCACTCCAACGTCGCCTCAACCTTTCCCCGTGCCTTCTCATCCAAAATAGGAATGCCCTTGAACGTGTCCGCCCACGCATTCTCCAACACCTGTCGAACAGTCAGACCGCGGGGCATGTGCTGATGCACCTCGGGACTCGAGTGTCCAATCCGTGACTGAATATCCCAAAACGTGACAGGTCGCTGCCCAGACCCGGGCTCGGGCAGCCTGCTCCGGCCAAACAGCTTGATGGGGAGTGAATACGTCTGCGGGTGATCGGAGCACAAGAGAGACACGACGGTCGTCTTGCCCGACCCGTTCGGACCGAAGACGCCCCATCGCTCCCCTCGCCGGACGGTCCAGATCAGCCCATCCTTGGGCCCGGACGGCGTATCCTGAGACCAGTTGCCCAGCGCGATCTTGTTCCCGTACCGCACTTGACATCCGTCCATCTCGATCAACGGTTCACCCACAACCGTCTCCCCAGTAGTCGAAGCCGACGCCTCAGCAGAAGAAGAAGCAGACTCAACAGCATGCAAATCCTTCTCCCCCGCCGACAAAAGCCCATCGCCCTCCACCCCCCTCGCCGTTAGAACCTTCCCCATCTCCACAAGCGAATGCACAGGCAACCTCTCATCCTCCTTCAACCCACCCTTCCACACGCCCCTCACATACGTCCTCAACCCCTCCAACACCTCCTCCTTAGGCCCCATCGATCCGACCTGACAATCCCCGCGCAGGTACACTAGGTGCGTAATCCACTCGGGCAACGGATCCTGCGGCCGAGCGCTCAACACCAGCCTCGGACTCGCCCGCTCCGCGATCCCCTCCAATACGGGACTCAGCCCTGCCACCGTCGGCGGGTCAAGCCCCATAAACGGCTCGTCTAGCAGCAGCACCTCGGGTGTCGCCAGCAGCGCTCTCGCGATGCGCGCGCGCCGTCCCTGGCCGTTACTCAGGAACGCGACGGGGAGATCCAGCAGCGGCTCGAGACGCAGGTCCTTCACGACCCTCTCCACGAGTTCCCTTGGCATAAGGTCCTCTTCTCCCGGTAAGGTGTCGAGCGGATTGAGCTCCGTATTGCCGAGCAAGTAATCCCGCAGCGAGAAGTCCGTATTCTCCCTCCTGGACTCGTACCGCGCGGCAAGGTACGCACTGGTAGTATGCCCGCCGCCTAAGCCGCCGTCACCGTCGAAACCGACATATTGAATGGCCCGGTTTGCGCTTCTTAGGCGTGGCGGGACGGCCTCGGTGGAGAGATACGGGTACGTTCGCGCCGTCGGCGGGATCGCGAGATGCTGACCGCGGAGGACCTGGAGCAGCGTCGTCTTGCCCGAGAGCGAGGGGCCGACGATGCACCAGTGATTTTTGTTCTTCGCGGCGGCGGTGGCGGAGGACAGCTCGAGGTTCAGGTCTGTGAAGAGGGGCGGGTTCGGGTGCGTGGTGTGCGTGTTGGGGTGGCGCCGGTAAAAGGAGCCGTTGGCGATCCTTAGGATCGGGGGAGAACGATTCGGTATCCTCATTGTGATTGTAAGAGTGTGTATGTGTGCCCGCTTCAATGGGAGAGATTGAGCAGTCACTGTCAGAGCGAGTGGAATCAACACCAATTGACCACCATTCCCGTTGATATTGCGTCGTTGAGATTAGTCGTGGGACGACGTTCACATTGTGACTCTTCCTTCTCCTCCCAAAAAGAAAAATCCGGGGCAGCTTTCCCCGGACTTTTGGGTACGAAATACGTAAAACCAGCTGCGATCTCGGTGTCGAAGCTCGGCCGTCATCGCCCCACCTTCAATGTGGATCCATGTCCGGGGAGCGGAAAGAAAAGACCGACAGGGATCAGGTAAGCTAAGGTTGCTGCTGCCGCCGCGCCTGCATTTCAGCCTGGAAGTCACGTGCAGGAGTCTCGCTGAGGTAATGGCGGAACTGACTGGCACGACTGGGTAGCAGCAATCAGCAGGCACGCCGGAGAGCTCCAGGCACATCACCGCAGCGCAAGCTCCCATAATCGTCACCCAGTCTGTTCAGCTCCATCTCAATCAACACGATCCCCCAAACAAAACCTCTCCTCCCAACAACCACAGTCCACCCCAAAATAGCAGTCAAGATGTCGGTATGTCATCTTCCACCAAGCCAACCATCTCCCCCTCCCCCAATCCACCTCACATTCCCAGAAGCTAACATCATCTCCCCCTCCAGATGCGAATCGTCCCCGCCGCAAACCAACCCACAACCTTCGCTGCAGGCGCCAACGCCCCCTCGGCACCGGGCGTCCACGACACCCTCCGCGCCGGCGTAGGCCAGTCCGCCTACGACGCCAAAGAAAACGTCGCCGCCTCCGCCCACCCGCTCGAGTCCCGCCTCAAGAACTGGGAGGCCACCCAGGAAGGCATGCGCATGGAGACGCTCCGCCGCACCTTTGGCCTCGCGGAGCCCATCCGCCGCCAGATGGAGCTCAAGATTACGCAAAACGGCGAGTGGCGGCCCCTCGCCCTCGGCGGGCAAAAGGCCTCCGTCCACGAGGAGATCCTCCGCGGCAAGGACTCTAGCGTCACGTGGGAGGACGTCTACTCTGGCGAGGAGAGCGTGGGCATCGTTGGTATGCACGACGAGATGGAGAGGAAGCTCAAGATTTGAGAGAGGAAGAGAGAGAGCTTGAGAGATATGATGGGGTTGGAACGACCGAGAGCGGAACTGGGCTCCTGGATTTGAGGCATGCGACAGAAGGACCAGGGTTGGATTTGTATTACTACGATATGCGTCATGACCTCAGGACGGCGCGGCAAAGGAAATGTCAAGGCCATAGAAGGGATTCACCGAAGCGTCCAGGTTCGACGGAAAGATGGAATAGAATGCGTTCTACTATCCTATGGACAACACCCATAGACGGGGCGTGGAGAAGAATCAACCAGAACAAATACACAAAGCTATGATACGCCGCTGTACTCCGAATGTCCCCTTATTGTCTTCGCTCTTTGTAATACGCTCGATGGATGTCGGGGTGGCCTCCATAGAGGACACGAGAAAAAATAAAAGACCCATCGCAACACCGTGACCGAAGGCCTCACCAGACCCGCTAGCCCATCCATTCTGGGCACTTCTGGAATTGCATGCATTGTCGAAACCATGACCCCCGGCTAGGCCCCTGCCTCTTTGTGTCGTGTACCGTACCATGCAGAGCACTCCAGCCAGATTGACCCGATGGAGTCTTTTCTCGCCTGCTCTTCTTTCATGCATGCCATTCTCCCCACTAGAAAGGAATGGCTCTTATTCGGCGGGGAAGAGATGATAAAGGAAAGGAGTGATGATCACAGAAGAAAAAGGCCCAGATCTTGGGACCGCTCGATCATAAGATGACACAGCATCCGCCGCCCCCTTCTCGGTTGCGGCCGCCGCCAGAGGTTGACTTATTGCCTCCCTTAGGTTCTTCTTCCTCAACGATATCGGCTGGCCGGACGGTCATGTGTACAACGTTGGCTGCCTCTGCACTGAAGTGATATTCTGGAACAAGGTTAGATTCATCAAGGAAAACGTAAATGTCAGGGAAAACCTACGTTTCAATTGGTCCTTGTCGTCTAGCAGCTTTCCGAAATGAATCAAACGTATACTGCTGGGGCTCGCAGGCTTGGCATCCCACTCTTCACGCCACTCCCTGAGGATGAGTTCCTTCAAGGTATAAACACTGATAGTGAAGGGGTCCTTCTTCCCAGCCTCGGTCAATCCAGGAACATTGACGTTTCTCTTTGTCAAGTACTTTTCGTCCAATTTGTAAGGGTGTCTTGCACCAGTGGTGAGCAACAGGGTGATGTTGCAGACTGGGCCATCTGCTGGAGAGCTGGTGACGGGCTGGACGTCATCGACAGAGGGACCGATGGCCATGGAGTCATTCTGAGTCTTGGTCGCTGGCGACGAAACCGAGTCCTTCTCCTTTCCTTTGGTTGACGACTCGATTGAATCGTCGGCATCGCCCACGACCGAAGTGTTGGCTTCAGGCTGTGTTGACGCCGCAGCGGCGGGTGTCTTGCTTGATGAAGTAGTCGTCGGCCTCGTTGTGTCTGCTGCGGCGGCGTCGGCTTCCGTCGACGAGGATTGAGGGAGGGTCTTCATTGGGATGGTATCCTTTGGCGCCGCCGAGGAATCCTTGGGTGGTTGGCCGACGGTCGTGTTGGCGTCGGCGGGTTTGGTATCGGCCATTGCGGATCACAGGCAAGAGCAACGGCAGCGTCGAGCCTCGAGGAGCGCGGGCTCGTGGTGATTGTGATTGGAACCGAATCGGATACAGTGGCTCAATGCATGCGGCAGTCTGCGAAAAAGTTGAGGATATTTCGACGAGTGGGATCTCAGTGTTTCGCAGAAGAGAATCGGGGGAGGATGAATTGCAGTCTTCGGGTGAGACGGTCAGACGCAGAGGCACAGCGACGCAGAGACGCCAGTCGGGATGGTACCAGTTGGCGTGGGTAGCGAGGCCGGTGTTGTGGCAGTTGCCAGGATTTGGGGGGGGTTGTTCAGGATGTTGGACGGGAACGCGGAAGCGGGTGGTAAAGGCGGGTGATCAGTGCATTCAAAGCGTGGGCGTTCGACCAGTCCAAGTTCAAGCCCAACCAGCGATGTGGGAAAAAGGAAGGATAAAATGGAGACCCGGGGCCGAGAGTTGGAGAAGGAGACGTGGGAGAGAGGACTTGACGGGAATGTCGAATGGGGAGATGGCTTGGCGGAACTTGGAAGGCGTGGCTCGTGGGCCGTGGGCCGTGGGCGTTGTCTCTCTTTTCCACCTGCACTCCAGTCTCCAGTCTCCAGTTTCCAAGTGCTGGGCTCGGCTGGGCAGGCTGGGGACACCTGCTTTGCTGAGGCCGGGTGAGTGGATTGGCTGACTGACTATACTACCACGCTACCTAGTAATCCAGTCTAGGCAAGGTAGGTAGGTTGAGTGGACAGGCTGGGCTGGATGGCTCGGCAATGATTCCGTTCCAACTTCCAAGTTATGCTGGAGGCGAAAGAGTCGCGGAATTTGCCAGGTACGTATGCGAACAAATCTTCTGTATCGTCGGTAGGGAAGATCGTGTGAGTTTGCTGCTTGTAGATGATTGCATTCGTCCCTGAGTACCCGTAAGATATGGTTACCTGAACAAGGTAGGTCGGTAGGGGAGAGCGGTGCTTCGCTGCCGAAGCGGCGTTTGGTCGTCTCCTGTCTCGATGGTTACGCTCACGCTCTTCCGGGCAGGAATGTGCCTCTAGGAACAGTACGTGAGTACCTACCCTACGGCAAGGTAGTCGAGGTAGGCAGGTATGCTGTAACAATGTACCCGGCAATCACGTCGTCTCCCGTCGAATTTCCGAGCGGTCGGTATTAGTCGAGTCGTGCAGGTTGTTTCGTCTATCAGGCCCTCCTTGACAAAGCTGCTACGGCGGAGGCGGCGGCGATGGCGATAGACGCGGCGGCGGCGGATATCGGCAGCAAAGGGCGAAGCCGATCAAGGGTCGAGGATGTTGTGGAGGGTGTCACAAGCTTGCTCTCTTTTTTCCTCCTCTCGGTCATCAAGTTCCAGCTGCTGTCCAGGTCGTAATCCTTGATGTTTGATGTTTCTTCTCGGTCGTGGGTCAGCCGCTTAGAAGACAGAGAGTAGGAACGGTCCGAAATACCTATTTCAAATCGAGACTGGCCAGCAAGCAATAACAACAACAACCGCGCATTCGAGATGTTGACCGGAATTGCAACCGCCGGTAATGGAGAGTTTGTGGATTGATGAGCGCAGAGCAAACGGCGTGGTTGCTGTAGTTTCCCTCGATCTTCCTCACTTAAGGTACTCTCGCGGCTCTCTGCCTCTTGTTGCAAGTTTGACTGATCAATTCTTTCCCATTCCTTGACAATGATACTTCTCGCGAAGTACCGTTCTTCTAGTGGAAAACAATGCGAGTACCTGAGATTGTCGGGAAGGCGCACCGCAGACTGCAAGAGAAGGAGCACCCATGAAGCTCTCAGGGGAAAGAACCACTCTCTTTAGGTCTTTCTTTCCCGTCTTCTTTCCCAACCTGGAATCCCTCAAGATCCTCAATTCCAAGGTTTCCCTAATTCTTCCTCCCCCCATCATCTATTACCCTTGCACCATTATTCGCCATCTGATCGCATGCTCCTCGCAGTCAAAATCCGAGTGCGCACCGATTGATAATATATCGATACATACCTACAGATCCCATTTCGAGTATTTTCACGCCTGCTGGACTCGGTCAAGGCTAGCGCACTCGCTAACTCGACCGCGGCGTCCACGGGTGCCCTCCCCCGCCGTCACCGCTCCAGAAGACAGGACGCTATTATTTCGCAATGTGACACATTCCCAACCGCACGCACCGTTCGCATTCCTTCCGTCTCCAGATCTGGGCGTCTCGCGGGGGAAACGGGAGCGGGAGCGAGGGAATGGAAAGGATCAAATGGCACACGCGCCGTAACGAGGAAACGCACCCAGACGTTGCTTGTCGAATTTCCAACAGTCAGTGTCATTGCCACTAATTCAGACCAACCACCCACAACACTCTTTCAATTCGCCTGCAGTCAGCCGCATCATCAGTCGGTCGAGGCTGTGTCGGTTCCGATACGTACCCACCGATGGTGCCCTCACCGGTTCAGTTCCCCTTCTTCGCAGGGACAGGCCAGTCTGCGGCCCCCGTCATGCCGCCCCATCTCTGGGCATCCGAAATCCCCTCATTTTTCTCAACTCAAGCGCGAGATGAAAAGATAGACGTGCGATGTTTCAGCGGCACCCCATACGCGTGTGGGAAACAGATTCGTCTGGGGGCACGGCAGGCAACAAAAAGAGCAGCTGGATTGGATACGACCTCGCAGCATTACAAGATGTACGGTTGGCTTCGTCACCGCTTTGTGTTTTTCGCACTCTCAACCTCCCAGGGCCTTCAGATTAGTGTGTGAGGGTGTTATGTTGATGTTTCTGAAGATGGGATAAGACTGTCAGGAACCCGAAACTCTCCTCAGGCATATTTCGCCCGTCGCCCCATGGCCTTATTTGACACCAATGCAACACGCAGGCACGGAGGAAGCCAATGCAGTGCACGTACATGCTCAAAACCCAAAGAGTCTACAGGAGAAGCATATGAAGGCTAGCGACGCAGAGCACGAGCTTTCCATGCTTTGGCCTGTTGTCTTCCAAGCTGGTGCTCTGCAACGTCCAGACGAAGTGCGAGATCCTCGTTACAGATCTGCTAGGGCGAGGAGAACCACCTATGCCAGGTTCACATGTTCACTAAGTGGGACACAGGCCCTGGGCAGATCTGATGGCAGCAACGCGGGTAGAAGAGTAATCGTTAACTCATAGGACTGCCGCATCCAGACTCCCCAAGCTTTTCGGACCAGATCGTATGTGTTGTCGTCGGGCGCCCAGATCCATCCACGGCTCCAGCGGAAAAGATGCCCGGGGTTCCCAACCAATCCCTTTGAGGATAGAGGACTGTCGACGATGGCCAGCCATGGCCCACCGAGACTAGTCCGAGTCTCCTTCTCCTTTGGGTCACAGTTGACGTCTTTTTAACACCATTTGTCCAGATCCTTCATCGGGGGAACCGGGAACGGTGCAATGCCTCAGTACACGAGTTACTATTGAAGTGGATGTCTCTCATTCTGACTTTTATCCCAACGACTCGGAAAACAGAAGAATGCGAACAAGACAACGAGGAAAAAGCAGTATTTGAACTCCATCATTGGTGGGCGACACAACCTTCGAACCAGGATCCAAAATCGCGGGGTGACGGAAGAAACAATGAAGACCCCACTTGCTTGCGCCGGTCCGCGCAAAAGCTGGACACCAAGATACAACCCCAATGGACCGGCATTGCGCCCAAGTCTTAGTTGACCTACCCGAGTTGTCGACCATATCGTCGCAAACAAGAGCAGAAGCTGATACCGATTTACCGACCGTGCCGACGTTGTCTTACCTAAGATACTGACGGAAATCAAGACCACGGCACCAACCCAAAGCCGGAGCCGGACTTGTGTGCTCCGCCACACTCCGTGGCTCCTGGTGACTGCTCTCCTTTCACATTTACGAAAGGAACTACGACTTGCCTACGTTTCTGTAGTACGATTCAGTAGCCTATCCCATCGGCCCCTTAGGCCTGCCCATTCCTCATAGAACTCAAGGTTCCGGCCGGACCCCTTAGACCTCCCGTCGAGGCCCGCCGCTAAATAAACATCTGTCGTGCGCCCGCATTGCACGACTTGGTCTTGTCTTTGTCTGAACTTTCCAATGGATTTTCAAGACCAAATCTCATCACATCTCAAGCCTGTCGGTTCTGGCATCTACTCGCGCATGCATCGGAGAAGGTAGTAGACAAGAGAGATGACGAAAGAAGAATCTATTTTCTCCGCAGCTTTTTTGGAATCCATGTTGTGTCCTCATTCTATAGGTTGAGGGAACGTCAACCTACTTGTATTAACTCAGAAAGACGCGAACATGCTAGTATACACTGTTAAACGAAAATCTTTCATAGAGATACCCTCATAAAAGGGGAGCTTTTTTACGCACGTAGTGCATAAAATCCAATACAACTAAATACAGCCTCAGTTGGGTAAGTAGGTCAGGTAGTCAGGTATGCTGGAAGTTGGCCTTCATCCTCGAGGGCACGGAGATCAGTATAGCTAATAATTTCCTCGAATTTGCTACTTGTCAACTTTTGCCTCACACTACCATTATCAAAATACCGAGGATATCCTGTCGTTTCATAGCCTACAGTCAAACAATAATCCTCCCCCTCCTCCAACACACATCTCACTGAGCTCGTCGTCGCATGTGTCTTCTCACAGCACCAACAAATCACCATTGCTCCCCTGCGCCGGCTGCACCACCTGCTGCGGCGCGTGCTGATTCACCACATACCCCGTCTCGTAACCCCCAGTCTCACCAAAAACGTCTCCTTGGTCGATCCTCATGGCCGCCATCTGCTGCGGTCCGATACTGTTAAAGTACGCGTCCGCGTCGTTGACCGCCTGCGCCATTTCGCCGTTGGCCGCCGCCGGGTCGTTGGCGATGTGCTGGCCGTGCATGTTATAGTCCTGCGCCTGTCCGCCCATGCCGAGCATGCTCAGGCTCTTTTGGTTCTCAATGGACGTCGGAAGGAGGTGCTTCTGCAGCGCAGGGGAATCCGTCAGCTTCTTGGGCCGCGCCGAGCGGAAGACGGTTTGCACCGGCTTCAGGTACACTGTGGCGAGCGTGCCGACGTTGAGGCACATCTCTTCGAGGGTGGCCGGGTCGAGACGCTCAGATTCGGCCGTGATGGGCGGCTTCTCGCCCATGACGATTTGCTTGGCTGCGACCATGTCTGTCGATAGGAGTCGCCAGTACATGTAGGCTCTGTCGCGAAGATCCGGGTTGTCCGTCTCTTCCGTCGCCCACTTGAGGACGCGAGGCACCAGCTCTTGACCCTTGGTCGGTCTCTGAATAAAGAGCTTGACGGTCGCCGTGAGCAGTGCCAGCTGTACTTCTACCGGCTCCTCCGCGAACGAGTACAAAAAGTCTTCCAGGAGAGCCTCGCTGTTCTCTATTCTATCCGCGTACTGTCCAATGACCCAGACCATGGCAGCCTTTGCTTCCGGTTCGTCGAGAGAGTCAAGGTGCTCGCAGAGGGTGCCGATGATGGACTCGTACTGGTTCGGATACTTGCGGAAGATGTTTCTAATAACGACCGTGGCCTCCTGTACAATATACGTGATCTTGGTCGCAACCAGTTCGAGGAGCAGGTTGATACATTGCCGCGCTGCCGGCTCGATCTTGATAGCCAGCTTGCCTATCGCTCGCACTGCCTTGCGAACGAAGTGAACGTCGATTTCCGTCGCGTACTCTCTAAGTTCGGTGAGGACCTCATCGATGTTGTTTTCGTTGGCGAGCATGAAGATGAGCTCCAGCTTCGTGACCTTTACGTAGATGGGGTCGTTGTACTTGCAGAAGAAGACCCGAATGTCGTTGCGCAAGACTTCAGGTCGACGCTGCAAGATCAACAGAGCGTTTCGCAGAGCGAGGTACTGTACTTCTGGGCCCTTGGCAAGGAGCGTCACCAGGGGAGGCGATAGCTTTTTGCACAGGATTGCGATCTGTCTCTGGTCCGAGATGTAGTTCATGAGATACAGAACGACGCGGATGCAGGTTAGTACGACGGCCGAGTTTGAATGTGAAAGGCGCGGCGATATGCGCTCTGCAAGAAGCAAGGCTTCCCCTGACTCTTGGGGCACATATGACATGAGTGCCTCGAGGATATATGTTTGACCCCATCTGCCATGATTGTCAGCAACGGCCTTTGCGAAGCGATAGTTAGTACCCACTCTGAGCAGTCGGGAAGGATAGCCACCATCTTGGAGGCATTGCTGTAGTCGATGGTGAGCTTGATGGCGTCACTACGCTCCCAAATGTCCATCAACGATGCTAGCGCACTGGCCACTACGGTAGGGTTGTCATCTCTGAGAAGCGTGTTGAGCCTGTCGATTAGATCTGACCCCTCGATCATGCGCCTATCGTGGTCATATAGCTTTGCGACGCAGAAGGCGGCCGTCTTCCTCACGTATGGATCCGCGTCCTTCAACATGTGCTTGACCAAAGGAACAGTCGCCTCGACGAATTCCCGGACGTGTATGTAAGACATCGTTCGCAGGGCCAAAGCTCTGACCAGCGGATTGTGATCTTCCATATCCTGGGGCGGCGTTAATCAACTGACGTCTTAGAGATCAAGGTGCCATGCTCACCTGCTCCAGCACGGGAATAGCCTGGACGGCAATTTCTGGCCGCATCCTGGCGTAGTTGACCAGGAACAAGAAGCACCTAGATGAATCGTCAACACCTGAATGTCCTGTGGGGAGCTATCGGGAAGCAGTACATCTTCTTGATCTCGAGACTCTGGATATGCATGCAGCCGATGATGTCGGGGAATAGCGCGACCATATCATTGTTGCTCATGGTCATGTTGGCGACAATCTTCTTCAGCGCAATCTTCTTGCTTGCATAGTTCTTATCCTTCTTGCCGCCGCTGTTGAGTTCCAGCCGCAGTTCTGCAACTTTACCCTTGGAGGTTATTAGTTTATTGACATAAGTCGGCGGGGGCACGTAGGCCATAAACATGGCGGGCGAAACATAGGAGGACAGCATCCAACGTAGGAAATGCGAGGTGAGGTGAAGATAATTGCGTCGAAAACTTATGATGAGAGGGGAAGCTGGAGCTCGAGGCCGCAAGGTACAGCAAGGCTGGTGGTATTGGGGACGGCGGGGCAGACAGTGCGTAGGGACAACTCCCAGATAACAAGCTCAGCTTGTCTAAGACAGATATCGGAGGATTTGGGTACAAAATTCGCGAAGGATGCTGTCTAAAGGCACGACATGTATGTATGTGCAATGAGATCAGAAGAGACAAGAACCAATTCTTACCCTGGCAAACAACTTGGAGTCTCCTCCACCCTGTGCACTCGACATGATGACGGCTTTCTCCTGGTATCAGACACAGCGGTCGGTGTGGTGGCGCGTAGTGCGATTCTCAGACAGAAACCCTTCGAACGGGCGTCCCGACAAGCTCTCTGCCGATTCTCGATCGCGTCGTGGTGGGCGATAACACCCTAGGACCCCTCACGCCCAGCTGCGCGATGTATGTCGACTTTGGCTTCCCTGTACTAGGGCCAAGCCACTCGATCGGAACGGGGTCGCAAAAGTTGGCGGGAAGACGCAGTGCTTCCTTGACTTGTCTTGGATGGTGGGAGGGGTGCAGAGGCAGAAGGGATGTCACATGCGTCGTTGGTGCCAGGGGGGGGTTGCGGCCAATCGAAGAGGCTTCTGCTCGATCAACGTGTCGACGAGCTGAAATGCCGGACAACCTTCTTTTTGTCTCTACAGCAGCTGGAGTGGCCGATGTCTATCGTGCGTGGGTTCGGGAGAGTTCGCTTGGCTCGGTGCGACGGTACGGGGTGCGGTCGGTCGTCGTTTGTTTCTTGCGGGCAATCCGGGGTTTCGATTTCCAGTTGTTTAAGGGGAAGTTCAATGTTGGATTCCCAAAGCTCCCGCCGTTCCGCAGTGGAGTGCGACAGGTCCGAAACTGGGCCTTATCGGTCAGCCGATAAAGAATACCCAAGCGCAGCCGCTGTCAACCGCGTGGGGTGCACGTCAGACTGCGTTGCCTGGGTTTAGCCGACCCTTTTTGTGGAGAACTGCTTTCCAACGACAGCCCGTCATCACCCACCAGCGCGAACTGCTTGCCAGCTTTCGTTTCAACACCTGCATCCGGATCCTTTGAGCTTCCGACCGCTCGCTCGACTAACGAAGCCCGACAAACATACTCCGATCATGGCTTTGGTCAATGGCGATGTCCCGCGATGGGTTACAGACCTACAGTCTCCCCCTGCTGCTAAGTCCAAGGTCCCCAGCATTTCCGATCCCCCAGGCTACCCGTCGCAATCCTCGTCCAGCTCCAAGGTAAGCTCGTTGCCGCACTGCGCAAGCGTTCATTTCCGCTGACTTGCTTTTGTAGAAGCAGAAGGACCAGAAGGCTATCCAGCCGCGCAAGCAACAGACGCCCGAGGAGATGGACACTCTGAAAGTCAAGAAGGCCTGGGAGGTGGCACTCGCCCCCGTTAAGAACCTGCCAATGACGGCGATCATGATGTACATGTCCGGCAACTCGCTACAGATCTTTAGCATCATGATGGTGTTTATGGCTTTCAAAAACCCTCTGATGGGTCTCACTGCGGTCAACCAGGCATTCGAGAGGTTCGAATCAGAAACAAACAAGGGCAAGATGTTGCAGGTTAAGCTGGCATACGTCGCGATGCAATTCGTGGCCTTGGCCCTGGCGGTTTGGAAGGTCAACTCGATGGGACTGCTGCCGTATGTATTCATTCACGGGTTTGGGCACAATGGCAATGCTAACGCGGGAGTAGGACAACGAGATCAGATTGGTTGGCTTGGGAAGCTCGAAGAGAGGCTTTGGAGTCCTCGGTCCCCGCTTTATAGACGACAAAATGATATCCAGTACCACAATACCGCAAACCAAGTCTCTGTCCCCGCCCTCGTTTATGCATCATTGTACACTGCCATACCAAACCATGCCACTGCTAGTCACGGCTTCATACGGCCAGACACCATCGTCTTCGCCGCTCGTTGGTATCTCATCAGAATTTCGGGCAGGCATTTCTACTTCGCCTATTGCATTGTAAGGCTGATCAGCCATATCGTCGTAGTACCAACGCTGCGATGGGTCATGTACAGATGCATCGACAGGCATGCTGAAAGTACCCAGCCTCGCTTCCTGAGCTTCTTTCCCTCTAGGCCACGGACGATCCACATCGACCATGTTTCTCCGGCTCTTGCTCTTTTTGGAGGAAAGATGATTCGACTGAGGTGGATCATCTACGATGCTCGCCTCCGACCTAGAGAGACCATGCCTCTTGACCTGGTGGTGGGCTGGGTCGAGAACCTCTCGGGCTAGCTGGGTCTGCTGGTTCATCGACGCTGATCCTCCTTTAGAGGTAGACTTATTCGACTTAGCCTAGGCAAAAGTCAGTTTCAGGCCGAGGCACCACTGAGTGCTCTAACTTACTTGCTGGTACATTGCTGCGATATGGTCCGTTTGTTGATCTTGGTATAGACTAGGATGTTTGATCTGCGGTCTTGACTCTGGTCTCGGGACTATCAGCGGCAGCCATGATTTTTATACCATACCGGAAAGCGTCTCATGCCCGTACACGGACGGCCAGGAAGTACGGATTCCGATGCCAAATCGCTGACCTATCTAGCTTCCAAAGTTGGCCAGAGACACAGACAACTCTGTCAGTAAGCATCAGCTGGTAGTTCCACTCGTAGAGTGTACATCTTTCTTGGCGCTCGTGATCGTATTCAAGCGCCCAGTCCGAACAGCAAGATCTCCGTATAATCTACGTGGTGCGTAACTCATGGCAATTATCTCATCTCACGGCAGTACGTGTACTCGGTACTCCATACGATACTCTGTACGATGTTATGGCCAGGAATTACCTCAAAAGAGGGGTTTCCGAGACCATGCCTACAAAGAAGTCGAAGCTATGGAACGAAAGGGATGCTATAAGCATGAACTCTGAGCTCGGAGTTTGCTCCTAACTCAACCCGAAGCTGGGCCCGATGGCCTTGCTTGCACAACAGCCACGACATACCAGACCGTTAGCGATGCCGGATGCGGTCCGGCAATGCAGCTATTCCAACGTCCAAGACCAAGCAGCCCATCGAAGTCGAGAGTCAAGCAAAACAGCGAGCCACTTAGCGGCTCTAAAAGGTACTGAGACAGGGCTAGAACGCATGAGACAGCTTTCCAGGGATGACATAGGGGGCCCCCGCGAGAGGCTATCCGTGTTTCCCTATCCTATTGGACGAGCGCCTGCACGAGACAATGAGACAAAACAAACTTACGCTTACCTGAGCTAGGTCGACTCTATTTTACTGTTGTCATGTCTTGACCGCGTTTGCCTGATCCTCGTGGGAGTGGTTCGCAAAGAAAACAATACCCCGGGCTAAGCTTGTGAGCCTCTATCGATAGTAGATGATCCACCAGATCCAGCCTTTGAGTTGTTTTCTGGATATCGTTTTTTTAGAAACATCTACAATGTCGATCATTCTGTGACATGGCTGGGTCATGTGGCACCGGATATTGGTGATAATTATAGAATACCACAATTCCAAGAAAGACGAACCTCAACCCGCTCCTGTACCTGGAACTAGAACTGGGATGTTCTGATATCATTACCCAACGCCTAAAAAGCCAGTCTCTCTTACAATAACCGAAAGGCCGTATCCAACTCTTAACCGAATCATGACGCCTCCTCCCTCATCCGCCTTGCATTCCTCCACACGGGACCCTTCTTCGCTATCAAAAACATCATCGGGCTCAAGACGGCACACAAGGCAGCCAGGAACGTAAACGACCACCCCCTCCCCATCCCACGAATCATGTACTCAATCACGGCCGTCCCGACGGCGCCCATGGCGCACCGCACAAGGTTATTCGCCGCCGTCGCCGTCGCAGGCGCGTCCGGGAACAGATCCACAATCAACGTATTCATGACACTAAACGACCCCGTGATGGTGAGCCCAATAACGCCCTGCAGCACCAACGGCGCCGCGACGCCGCCGACCTCGAAGTGCAGCACCCACCCGTACACCGTAAGCGCCGCCAGCCCGACGGCGACGGCCGGGTAGACGGGCTGCAGGCGGGCCTTTTCGATGGGGAATTTTAGGAGGTCGTCGCCGCGGCGGCGGTCGATTGCGAAGCCGATCTGGGAGGCGATGCGGCGGTAATTCCAGTCGAGGACGTAGCCCTGGCCGAGGCTGGCGACGACGCAGCCCGCGCCGTATGGGAGGTAGCAGAGGCCGAGCTCGAGGTCGTTGAAGTGGTAGATTTCGCGGAAGAGGGTGCCGAGGGTGGCCGCTACACAAATGAAGGCTACATAGAGGAGGCTGTTGTAGGCGAGAACGAGGGCCATTTCTTTTTCAAAGATTATTTTGACGGAGCGGATTGGGTTTGGGAAGCGGAGCTTGCGGTGAGGGTGTGCTGGTATGGATTCGGTCTGAGAAAGATCACCGGGATTTTGGTGTCTGCGGTTACGGTGGCGCCGGATGAGGTCGATCAGGGGCCGATTCCACGGCTGAGGCGGAACAGAGCCGTTGCCCACGACGCCTCGACAGGTCTCCGGGACGAAGAGGGCGTACGGGATGAGCCAGAGGCTGATGAGAACGACGCAAAACCAAAAGATGGACGCCCAACCAAAGTACTGCGTCAAGACGCCCCCCAAGACGGGACCGATGGTGGGACCGACGTTGATACCCGCGCCGACGATGCCCATATACTTGCCCCGTTCCGAGCTGACCGAGATATCAGCCACCATGGCGAACCCCAGCGCAATGGCGCCGCTGCTCCCGCCGCTCTGCAACATGCGGAGGACGAGGAGGGCGGCGTAGTCGCGCTGCAGGGCGAGTCCGACGCAGGCGACGAGGTAAATGCTGAAGGCGACGAGGAAGGCCGGGCGACGGCCGGCCATGTCGCCGAAATCGCCAAAGAGCGTCGGGGAGATGGCCTGGAGGACCATGTAGGAGGTGACTGTGAGGTTGACAAGGGCGACGGAGACGTGGAGGTCGTCTGCGATGGGGGCCAGGACCGGGTAGTATATGTTTGCGGACATGGGCGGGACGAAGCAGGCGACGGAGGCCATGAAGGCCACCCATCGCTTTGTAGAGGGGGAGAAGACGCTGTAGGCTGGGCCGCTGGGCTGGCGGGTGAGATTTTCGGGGTCGTCTTGGTCGTGGGCTGAGCCGTCGGGTTCTTCGGTCGAGGAGACTTCACTTTGAGCTTTTTCGTTGGCGAATTCTGGGTTGCTTGTTGATGAGGCCTGGATGATGGACGGACTTGGAGATGTTTGTGATGTTTCTAGGCCTGCTTGATTCCTTTCCAAGGCCATCTGGCGTATGTGGTTCAACTCATCGTGTCCCATATCTATCGAGAGAGTATCTCCTTATGAAGCAAAGATACAAAGTGATGATAAGACGGGAGAAGAACTGAGATTGAAGCTAGACGTTATTATGTTCAGACCCTTGCTTGATAGTGTCCCGCAACGCTCCTCAGAGATATGGCCAAGACTATTCTGAAGTAATACAAAACCGACAACATGAGCAACAAATTATAACAAGAACGGATGATCTTGCTTGCCTCCGTAGATTTTGCAGGTAGTCTATATCCGTAAGCGGGACCATCTTGCCGCCCTGCCGCATACCCTGCCTTACAACAATGATGTTATTTCCGCTACCAGATCGGCCTCCACCACTCGGCCTCTGACCGACCGCGATTAACATGCAGCTTTCATGATTCGCCCGAACCGGCCCATACCTCCACAAAAGCCCGCCCGTTTTGGGCAGCTGGAGTCGTGATCCGTTGGTGTTCCTTGACGAATGGCACTAGACTGATTCATTATTGCGCCTTAAGTCGGGTGATGGTGGGCATTAGCTAGAGTCGCTTGACTCTAGCATGAAATGGGTTCACTCCGAGATCGGACAGCTTCACTCGAAGTATTGAGCCCTTCTCTAGCATTCCGTTCTTGAATGTGGTCCTTTTTTCAATGGGGATGTAAGAAGTGGTTAATGGACGTCTCAATTGACGTCGTGTGCAAGCTTCGACCTCGTTGATGTGGAGGAGCTGGCTCGTGCGCCCCGCCGACGCCGTTGCCGACCTGCCGATGCAGCCCCGAACCTTCACTATCGACCTGCTTAGCTAAGACGCAAGAGCAGCAGCCACATCAGCCTCAAGTTCGAGGGGACAAATGTGGCTGGTGAGACCTGAGCACCGAAGACACGTCATTGGAGAACAGCTTTCCAGATCTCTAGCTGGCATCGTGGATGTGACCGCAGGGTTGAACGACATTGAATCCCCGGAATACCACGAACTATGCTACTCTACTGCAGGTGATTGCTTCCATATCGAAACGTCTCTCTCTCCCAGCCGTGCGGCAAAGTACGATACGCCCCCGAAAATGGACATTACACCGGCTTTCAACGACCTCCTGCGAAAGCGCAATGCGCCCATCGTCACTGAGAAGAAGCTCAGTCTCGAAGCGATTGACGGCTTCCTCAAGGAGGCTTACAGAATAGTCAGTCTCTCCCAACCCTTCCACTCTTCCCAACTGAAGACCATACTCCTCTGACACCCTTTCTATCTAGAACTCCCACATCACAAACCTTCACAACGAACTCAAAGATGTCCGACAAGCCTACCTCTCAACAGCGCAACCGCGCAAAACACACATCCACGCCGCCGCCGCCCAACAACGTCACTTAACAGACCGCGACCGCGAAGAAGTCGACGCAAACGCAAAGCAAATGCTCCGCGAGCTCAACGCGAGCATCACAGCCCTCAACGAAGCAGAGCTCCTCCGCCGCGAAACCGAAACGGCCGTCATCCGCAAAAAGTATGCCAGCAGGCTCGGTGCCCTCGGCGCCTGGGCCGCCGCGAGCGACAATGACAGCAGCAGCAGCAAGGGCAAGACGGCGGAGCACGCCGCGGCCGAGGCCCGCGCGAGAACGATTGAGCAGCACCGCGACGAGGTGATTCAGAGTCTGAGGCTGGGGTTGCAGCGGTGCGGGAGGACGCAGCAGGATATGATGGAGGTGAGGCTTACGAGGGAGATGGAGAAGAATAGGAGTGTTTTGGCTAAGGCGGGCGGTGGGGGCGCGATGCCTGAGTTGGGCGGGTTTTACGAGTCCATGGCGAAGAGTGCTGCTGCTAGCAAGGGGACGACGGGCAAGGCTGGTTTGCCGCCCGGGGAGGAGGGTGCTTCTTCTTCGTATGATCCGCGAGAGGGCCTCACGGATGAGCAGATTCAGATGTTTGAGAAGGGGAATCAGGATATGCTGCAGCATTACAACAGCACGCTGGACAAAGTCAGGTACGTTTTTGCATGGATGGGCATTTTCTTGCTACAAATCGTCTATGACCCCCTTTAGCATGCACAGCTAACGTTATGGTGCATAGGACGGCGGAGAAGTCGCTGCTTGAGATTGCGGAGCTGCAGACGTTGCTGGTGGGCAATTTGGCGACGCAGTCTGCGCATATTGAGCAGCTCGTGGCGGACTCGGAAAACATCACGGCGGACGTGGGCGGTGGTAACAAGCAGCTGAAGAAGGCGACGCAACGACCGAGCGCGGCGAGATATACCTTTTTCGCGTCGGCGGGGTTGTGCACGTTTTTGATTCTTTGGGACTTGATTATCTAGTTGTGAGGCTGTCATCGGCTGGATAGGAGCTTGGCTGAAAGTTTGCCAAGTACGGATAGCTGGTAGCGATATCCATCAGAGCCGTTGTCTAACTCAAGGTGCCTAAGGCCGTCCTCCCCATATCGTGGTGGCCTAGTAAATCCTAACTTCAATCTTCAGTCTTGTGGGATTGTGCACTTTTGACGTATTCAGGTAGCATTTCGAAAGTTCCTTGGGATCAATCACAGGCTGATTGTGCTGTGGTTAGAGGTTGGGCTGACAGACATGTGAAAGTTTCTAGATAGCAGCGTCACATGCTGAGCAGTCAAAACGCCTAGACCAGGTGCAGGTGACCTTTTAGTTGCAAGCCATGTAAATCCAGCGGAGCAGAACATGAGAGGACCGGTGCCTTGGTCTTGAGGAGCATTTGATACTTTGATCTGCCTTACCTACTTTATCTAGCACCTTACGCAAGCAAGCTACATATTCACTTTATCACAGTGAAGAAGCGTTGTTGCGGTGTGCTCTCCGGGACAGTTTGTATGGAGCTGGGATGCCGGGGGAGCTTCGGCGAGTGTCTGGGCAAGCTTGCGGCAGGCGAGCTTCTGATTGGCGCTGCTAACGACATTGAACATGCGAAACGGTTCTCGGTCCCTGCGGTGTTTTGGAGGGGGGAAGCGTTGCAATACCGAGGAGTGGTCTCATCTTTGCGGTTATACTTGGAGTTGCCGAGCTCTAAATTCGTGTTGTTCCTAGAACCCTTGTAGTGTATTGATCCCAAGTCAAGGCGTGAATCTACAAATAGTGTCAGGTACAGGAATATGATTGTGCGTCTGTCAACCTGGAAGATGCAGTCCATTATACAGACAAGATGGGATGATCTCGACTCTTTAGTCTGAGGTGCCCCAGCAATGCACTCCATCCGATATGCAGGGTTCAGAAGGAATTCAAGAGGATAAACCGGGATGAATTTCAATCTCTACACTACGAGACTAAGCAAACGTCGAGTCGTGATGACAGTCTGGCAGCAAATGGGAGGGTTTGGAGAGTCATGGGGTTGAGCCCGAGACCTCGGCCCGCCCTCCACGGGTGACCTCACAAGCGCAATTGGGAAAGGTTGGGGCAAATGGGGAAGCAGCGGGGAGCCGACAGCTAGAGGATAAAGAGAAGGCGCGCTCCTTTTCCCCCGCCGATGCACAAGACACTGAAAGGAAGGTACTGCCACTGCTGCTGCTGCCAAACCTAGAAAACAACGAAACGAAAATCCCCGACCATTGCCCGACACTTCGCCGATTTCTTCACTTTCGGTATCTTTCTGCATCTCCGTAAACTTGAACCTACTACGATACAACCTGTCCTCAGCATCCCGGGTGACCAGCAAACACGCAGAATCAATCTATTTTCGCAGACAAATCCGCCTATCCGCACCCGATTCGAGCAAGGCGTTACGAAATACCTACCTCGACCTGACTATCCTGCCCGCACCTGGTGGATCCCATTTGATACAACTTTGCCCCAAAACCCAACCTTGGACGTGTCACAGTGGTACTTTTTCTCCGTCACCAGGTTCCATTCAAACTCGATTGCCCTTTCTCGAGTTTCCTCTGCCACCTGTTCAAGCCTCAGACAGCCAGAACTTCCGAACCACAAAAACACGCCCTCCGATCGTCCGAGCCAAAACATCACTATCTCAGCCTTTCATCCAGGATTCCACTACCCAACCCCCCGTATCCAAGCCGTTGCTCTGCCGTACAGTGTAAGGTATCCTGCGCCCTGCATCTGTACATACCTACCTAGTGTCTGTATTCTGCAGCCCGCCCGTCCGCTGCAACCCCATTCAACCTTCTTGTACGTTTCTGCAACTCCCGGAGCGCCGCGCTGTGAGGACGAGACACTCGGCCAGACCCAAGCGTTGCCGTACGGAGTACAGTACCTTAGCTCACACGTCCAGGTCTTTCTGGTATAGCTTAGCTCCCGCACCAACCAAGCCCCCCGTCTTTCATCCCCCAGGTAAGCAGTTGCAGCCCGTTTGTCCCTCACCTCAGCAACATGTCATCTTGCGGCTGGCCCTGTTCCTTGACGTCCTAGACGTTTCTTGCCTTAGCTGGAAGTTCCCCCCGTCTATGGAGGCGCATGTCCGCTTCCCCCTTCCCCTTCCCCTTCCCCTTCCCCGTCCAACCTCGAGGCGTCGGGTGACACGGTGACCCCTCCGGGAGCCCGGGCAGAAGGGGCAGCTCTCACCCCAAGGTCCCATGGTTCATGGAAGGTCCCAAAACACCCCGAGCACACCGGTGATCAAGCTCCCAATTCCCACTGCCCACCTTTGGGCAGGTACTTGGGTCGCCTCAGAGGCTCAGACACCTGGACAAACGGTTGGCGCCTGTAATCGCAAAGCTTCCCATTCGCCCGTCTAAATCGTACCACTATTTGATGCCATAATAATAACCACCCCCAGACAGACCCTTTCCTTCCCCCCCGCCTCTGACTCGTTCCCCCTTCTCACCAAAGCTCCAACGCTGAAAATGCCCGGTGAATCCTCCTCTTCTTCATCAGCTTCGGCCTCTTCCTCTTCTTCCTCTTCTCCCCAGAACAACTCTACTCTTTCGAGAATACGCAACATTGCATCACACATCATGGCGCCCGTTTCCACGACAAACTTCCCCGCCAGCACGGTGCCGCAAGCTCCTGAGGATCCCCTCTTTGGCTTGATGGCCGCCTACAGGGCAGACCAGAGCAAGGACAAGGTCGATTTGGTGGGGTGAACCCTTGATTCATCAAACAGCAGCTAGCTGTCTTGATGGTGTTCTGAGCTCTTTTGCTAACCAGACCAGGGAATTGGAGCTTACCGCGATGACAACGCGAAGCCTTGGGTTCTCCCCGTCGTCAAGAAGGTGCGTCATCATTCTCTACTTTTTTCCCCCTTCACCTCGTTGTGTGAATGCCCTCCGGAGACGGTCCCTGCTCGCGGCCCCTCCGGCTCCAGCAACGCAAAGCCCGGCTGCGTCACGCATCGGCGGCACAACAGCTGATGTGCAGCATCGTCCTGATTTTGATGAGCTTTCCCCTCATCGCATCCCACTTCCTCCACTTTTGGCCTGCCCCTTACAAGTTACCCACCCCCGCTAACCCCGCCATGATGCAACTATACAGGCCGACGAGATCCTCCGCAACGATCCCGAACTCAACCACGAATATGCTCCCATCGCCGGTATCCCCCAGTTCACCGGCAAGGCCAACGAGCTGATGCTCGGCGCCGATTCGCCCGCCATCCGTGAGAAGCGCACCTCTTCCGTCCAGACAATTTCCGGCACCGGTGCCGTCCATCTTGGCGCACTCTTCCTCGCAAAGTTCTACAAGGGCAACCGCACAGTCTACATCTCCAACCCGACATGGGCCAACCACAACCAGATCTTTGGCAATGTCGGCCTGCCCATCGCCCAGTACCCCTACTTCTCCAAGGAGACAAAGGGTCTCGACTTTGAGGGCCTCAAGTCTACTCTCTCCTCCGCTCCCGAGCGCTCCATCGTCCTTCTCCACGCCTGCGCACACAACCCCACCGGTGTTGACCCGACTCAGGAGCAGTGGAAGGAGATCGCCGCCCTGATGCGCCAGAAGAACCACTTCCCCTTCTTCGACTGCGCATACCAGGGCTTCGCCTCCGGCAACCTTGCCCAGGATGCCTGGGCCGTGCGCTACTTCATCGAGCAGGGCTTCGAGCTCCTCATCGCCCAGAGTTTCGCAAAGAACTTTGGCCTTTACGGCGAGCGCGCCGGATGCTTCCACTTCGTCACCGCCCCGGCCTCCGACGCCGCCGAGACCACAAAACGTATCGCCTCCCAGCTCGCCATCCTCCAGCGCTCCGAGATCTCAAACCCCCCATTGTACGGCGCCCGCGTCGCAGCCACCGTGCTCAACGACCCCGCGCTCTTCGCCGAGTGGGAGGACAACCTGCGCACAATGTCCGGCCGCATCATCGAGATGCGCAAGGTCCTGCGCGCCAAGCTCGAGGAGCTCGGTACCCCCGGCACCTGGAACCACATCACCGACCAGATCGGCATGTTCAGCTTCACTGGCCTTTCAGAGACGCAGGTACTGAAGCTGCGCGAGGACGCCCACGTGTACATGACCAAGAACGGCCGCATCAGTATGGCTGGTCTCAACACGAGGAATGTCGAGTACTTTGCCAAGGCGGTTGACAAGGTTGTTCGTGAGACGAAATGAGATTGGGATTTCTTATGACGCTTTGTATGAATGTAAATGGGTATACACGGGGACCGGATATGTCCCCCCGCAACGGTGTGGCCAGACAGCTGGCAGGAAGTGCAAAGAGGGAAAGAAAAAAATCCTTAGATTTCCTAGCTCTGGAGTAATGACCATAACCTCTTGTTCTTGATGCATGTTGCTAGACCCTACTGGTCACTCAATGAACTTTGTGACCTGTGACTTTGCGAGACTGATATTGATGTCCACATAACCTACCGTTTGAAGCTGCCACTATAATTGGCAACTGATTAATACTATGAGGGCTACCAGCGTGGGCTGATTGCCAGTGCCAGTCAATCGACCATGAGTTGCTTAGAACGTTCATGGTTTCTCCATCTTGACCTAGTTTTCTACTATCCCCATCTCTTATTTCTATCGTTTTTGTTAATTATGTTCTACCTTATTATTTCTGTCACTCATGCTCCATCATCTCTGTTATCTATGTTATCTATGTTATCCATCATCTCCGTCTCTCCTTTCTACCCTCTTTATCTCACTTTATCCTCTGTTTCTCTTTTGTCCTCTCCCCTCCCCTCGTCGTAAGCACTCACGAATACGAGAACGCAAGCCAGCACTAGCTATACCCTGGTCTTGACCTGCGCCGGTACCCGAGACTCCTACCAGCACTCACTACTCGGAAGTCGATATCGACAAGCACTGTCTTGAATTTGATATATTGAAGAAGGGATAGCTGGCGCCACGCTACGGTAGAACCAAACGTCTCAATTAATCGAAGCTCTCGTCGCAGCCATCGTGGT